CGCCAATACCGATATCAGTATCGGCACTAAAAATCCCACATCGGTCCGGCCCTAAATTCAAAAAGTGACACTGAAGATATCTTTGTTTTGGTTAAAGTTTAAGAAAGATTTAAAAGAAATACTTGACATACATACAGCTGAAGCCAAAATAAGGAAAATCTCTTGAAATAAAAAAGGTAGTTTAAAGAACAAGTCATGTCACCCCTGTACCTCCGGGTACGCCACCCGAGTTAAAATAGTCTGAAAACGCCCCTGCTCATGTCTACATTCACGCTATGCAACAAGACGCACTGTAAAGCTCAAACTCCCTTCCACAATGTCTGTGCGCATCTCATTATTAGTGTATACGAGTCATAAAATGCTTCTTTTTTTTTTAAACACGTGTTTATTCCATATAAATGTTTTTTTTAATGGCTACATTTTAAAACATCATCTCAGCTGACATTGCCCTCGATGAACATCCTGTAAACAGTTAATTATATTCATTATTACAGTTAATTTCCATGTATCTTTCTTTTGTATTTCCTGCTTCATGAACCTAATGTCTACTCATTCTGCTAACTGCTCCTTTAAGAACTCTGCGCTGTGTGTCACTGTTTGGATCACATGACCACATTATTCAGATTTTTCCTGCAATGAAAGAAACCTTTCACTCTGTTTAAAAATGCATGAAGAAATGTGGCTCTATAGCATGCAATGGTATGTGATGACATGCAGGTCACGCACATGAATGCCCACACACACACACACATGGAGTAAGTAATACTGCTGAATGTTCATGTACAGCCAAGTGATTTGTCATTTCCTGCAGAGGTGCATCTTGGGAAATCATCACATTAACTGAACACATCATCTTAAAGCTGAAAGTCTTTGAACATAAAAATGAATTTCATTTATATTCAAGCACATTCTACAGCTATCGGAGCCAAACACATCTCTGCCTGTGCCAAACTGATTCATTTGACTTCATCTGTGATTGGTACAGAGTAAAAACCACTCACAGTGTGTGCGAGAAACCATGCTTCTAGAAACTAAAGCTACAGCATGAAGCTAACTCCAGATGCACAATATGTCAGCTAAAAGTTCAGCATGATGTCATCATCTTTTCTTTAGTAACATGAAGATCTGATGATTTTTATTTATTTAACCTTTATTCAGGATTTTCTGGCACAACTTCACCAACTGTAAACTATAAACATATTAGACGGACGCTTTTCGGCTTGTGGCATTCATCAGGGTCATCAGTTGACCCTGGAGTATCAAGTGTGAAAACCCGGCAGGAGATGCACATAGTCAAACTCTTCTGGCTTCAAGTGCCATCCTGCAACTTTTCTAGGAATGACTGGCAGCCTGCACCCAACACTGCGTCTAGTTCTCCTAACACATGCATGAAAGCATCGAGGAATAAGGAGGGAAAGCCGGAGGAGCTTCCAAGAAAAGTTTCTAATGGAGATGAAAGATTAAAAAGTAACTTAGTGTTCTGAGGGAGGGATTCAATCGAAAAAGGGACGCCATCAACAACGAGGAGAAAACGCTGATAACTGATGGTGTGACAGTTCCTTCTTTGAGACAAAAGAGTAAAAGAGACACGCATATATCGACGACGCTCTCCGGGAACATTCTTCTTAAAACTTTTCTCGTGGTTGTGGTCGTAGGAACAAACATCTCAGATGATAAAAGAACACTGGATTGGACAGGGGAGTTTCATTTAGAAGCTAACGGCGAGGTGGGAGATTGAAAACAGTTTTCCAATCTTCAGTCTCCTCGCGCCGCCGTCTACAGGATATAAACCTGCCTTTAATACAGAGACGCTGCTCACATCCTCTGCTGCAGAATGATGCAACCACCAAGCTCCAGAAACCCTCAGGCCAATAAATCAGAGGCACGACAAAACGACATATTTCAACCTCTCTTTGTAAGGCTTGTGCCAGACTTGTGGCTCGTCCGGGGTAAACCCAGACTTTCTCTCTTTGTCAGCCAGGATTCATGTAATTTAAGGGGCAATAACGAAATGCATCACTACTTTGCACCTCATGTTTTGCAATTAGAGTTTATCCAAAGTGCTCAAAATCAAGCATCTATTCTTAAGAACGTGCAGCTAGAGGACGGAAAGAGGGATTCAGGCTTTTCAGCTTTTCCCATGACATTTGGGAACATTTCAGAGCGTTGGGTAGAAGAGCGAGAACAGGTGACTTCACCATAAGAGTGAGAAAGAGTGAAAAAGCAAACACACAAAGACCCCGAAGAAGAAGAGCGTTGCATGTCTTGGTGTCTTTACCCCTTCTCGCTGATCACTCAGAGGAGCATTCTGCTTCAACTGGCAGAGGCATGGAGGACCTGAGGCTGTGTGTGTGTTTGTGTGTTTGTGTGAGTGTGTGTGTATTGCAGTGAATGAGTCTCGGGTCACGCAGCTCAAGCAAGATCTCAGATTGGTGGCTGACTTCTCACACCACGGAGCTCGAGAAAAAGATCTGACACGCCAGCAGGCCGAGGAACCTCTGAACCTTCAAACATGAATCCTTGAGAGAGAGAGAGAGAGAGAGAGCGTGAACCGATTTGTAGCCCAGATTCAGCCTGAATGATGAGGAGATGTTTCCTTTGAAAACACATCTTTGAATTTATGGCCGTCTTTTTCGAGAGTTTTGGAAAAAGACAGATGAGACAGATTCCTGTTCTTATTTTTGACCGTTTCAGCAGACAAATGATTTAAAATATGTTTACTATTCTGCTGACAAATGTAAGAAAAAGTGGACGACATGACGGCTCCCACAAAAGTGAATCCAGAACATTTAGAGCGCCGCCTACTGACAGCAACACAGGCAGTTAAGCAGAAATCATTAGCACAGTTTCAGTTGGACTTCTATAGTTTGAGTTCAGCAAAAAGTCAGCAATGGAGACATCTACTTCTCTCCTTTTTCTTGATTAGCTTCATCTAATCCCAAGTTTCTGAAAAATCAGCACATGAGAGATGAAAAAGCCCAGAACTGTTTGTGCTTCACACGAGCATAAAACATCTGAACATCAGCTGATGAGTCAGACTGTGACAGTTTAATCCATTTTTTTACATTTTCTGCCTGTTTCAGCCCTCAGTGCTGAATGTGTGTCTGTGGAGATTATAATCTCACATGAAGGAATAAAAGTGAGAATAAATCAACTCCTGTCTTTGTCTCACCTGAGCGCTGACAGAACACGCTGACGTTCATTAGCATTTTCCTAAAATAAAAACTGTATTTTTAGGTACGCATGTGTGTCTCTGTGAAGCTCTTTGTAACCCGTGTCCTTTTTAAATGAAGTTTACATCTGTCAGATCGCCTCGCACCAGGAGGCAGCGTGTCCCTCTCAACATGAAATACACTCAGATTTTGTAAAATGCTGACGATCAATGACTTTCAAAAGAGGCAGCAGACTGATTCATCAATACACATTAACCAGCGGGGTTCAAAGCTGCCGCTCACTGACGTCTGTGTGTGTGTGTGTGTTTGTGTGTGTTTTTTTTTCAGGTTGAACTCGGAGTGATGACAGTCAGCTCAGAATTCAATCAGTGTCATTTTTTTTTTTCCATCAGAGTGAAAGTGAAGCAGCTGCAGAGTAAAACATGCCATTATCACAGCGCTGATACAGAGACACGGTTAAATATAACTGTGTGAACTCTCTGACTGCTAACATGACGCTAATGGGAATGAGCTGCACAGGTTAGCTAGCTCTCACCTCGCTATAGACAGAAAAACAAGGTCGTCTTTTTGGGGGGTTTTAGAGCGAGAGAGACGGGTTATAACTTCATCCGTTTGAGGACCAGCGGTCAGAAGTCGGATAGAAGACATCTGAGTGGGGGCGCCGGTAGCCTAGTGGTAAGTGTGCACGCCCCATGTACGGAGGCTGTGGTCCTCACTGCAATGAAAAACCATGCCCCAGTGCATTATGGGAAATGTAGGAGGCAGTGGTTCTGAGGCTTGATGTAAAAAAAAAAAAAATGTAAAAGGGACATTAAATGCTGAGTGACTGATGTGTGATGAAATGTGGGTGAACACAAATAAAATGCCTAAAAAGAAAAGAACAGTTTCACTAAGAAGAGAAGTCCTGCAGAAGAGTCAATGTTCACTCACACACTCGTCCTGCATCACGTTAGTTCACTGTAACAGTCAATCACTGAGTGAGTGTGAGAGAGTGTGTGTGCGTGTGTGTCTTTGCCCTCAATCTTACATCAGGGTTTCCCTCCCCCACATTCCTCCCCCCCTCCCTCCCTCCCTCTCTGCAGTGAAAAAATAATTACAGTTTCTTCATTAAAGTGAGTAATTTTCTTGCGTGGAGGACGAGACTACAGCTGTCCTCTGATTACTAAATGGAACAGAGCAATGATCTATGGAGCCATTAGGGGAACGGGCTGGAACTAATTTCAATCCTGGAATGGACCCGTGGTTGTAAACACTCGCACACACACACACACACTCATAAAAGCACACAGAGTGAGAGGGATCAAAAGATGAGGGAGGGAGACACAAACAGCCGGCTGTCAGCCATTTTCTGGCCTCGTATGAATCTCTGACTGAAATCCAAACGGATCTTCTATCAACACTAAATATCGACCGCGTCTGAGTTTTACCAAAAATGTTGTCCATCTGTTTGTGGGAATTGTCATTGTTTAGTGCCTCACACTCTGTCACCTCCTCTGTGTGTGTGTGTGTGTGTGTGTGTGGCTACTGGCCGTAACCTCGGCTAATGAGCCTGCTCCCTTCGCTCTGCCGCCTGAATAAAACAACAAGCACAGCGAGCGGATCATATTGTAGGAGCAGCACGGTTTGGCGAGCTAAAAAATGGAGATAAAGTTGTACGTATGTTGTGTCAGACCAGCGCAAAGCGTAACCACTTTCAGCACGGGCTCGCCAATCAGGACGTTAAGCTAAATCCCTCAGAATTTTCGTTTCCTGGATGTGACTCTTATGAAGCAGGAAAAGTACATGTGGACGACTGAAGTCTTGTTTTGTGTGCTAATCGTGTCTTACCTTCTATGGGTGATGTTTTCAGGCGGCGGCAGATGCCCTGCACGTCCGTGTACGTGTCCGTTATCTTGTTGACTGCCTCGGCGCTCCGCAGCTCCATCAGGTCCCTCAGGTCCTCCGTGGTCATCCCAAAGTCCCCGTCATGGTTCCCCTCGGCCACCGAGTTCCCCGGAGGGTGGTCCGCCGTGTTGTTGGCCATGTTGGTCCTCTTCACAGCAGAGTTGTAGTTCTTGTTGTTGTTTTCGTAGTTTTTGTTCCACTGAGTGCTTTTTGTTTGTTTGTTTTGTTGTAACACTGATACAATAAATGTCAGAGTGTGTTCTGTCAGTTCACAGGAATTGCGGGTAGTGTAGTTCTCACAGGAGGCGGGCGGAGGAGACGAACACTGAGGCTAACTCCTGACCCGGATGTGCATGCTCCTCTGGGGTTACCATGGAAACAGGGATGTAAACATGTTCTGCAGAAGAAACAGAAAAACAGACTTTTAAAAATCAGACAGAAAACCGTCTAAACTCGGGATGCATAATCAATTTAAATTTTCTCGTCATCACAAAATGAGCTGCCACAATAAAGAAATCGCAAAAGTCTGAATTCATCGCAATAAAGAAGAAAAATTATTATATACAAACGATCGCTGCTTTCTCACTCAGCATGTGAACATTTTACACGCTATCGCGCCATTTCATGCAGTCAAATAAAAGTCAAGCTCACCGTCAGCTACCCTCAGAGTGGATTTAGTGGTAAACATTTATTTAAAGCTGCAGAATTTTTATTTATCACCCTTCATATCATTATCAGAATATGTCTATATTTTTAAAGGTTTATTTTGGGCTTTTTATGCCTTCATTTAGAGACAGGACAGAGGACAGAGAGTCAGAAATCAGGGAGAGAGAGAGAGAAAGAGAGAGAGAGAGAGAGAGAGAGAGAGAGAGAGAGAGAGAGAGAAAGGAAGGACATGCAGAAGGGGAAAGGAGCCAGAGGTCAGATTCGAGACATGCTACTGACCAATAGGCCACCAGCTATGATAATCACAATATTTATTGCAGCCTAAAAACAGACTTAAATTCCAAAATAATTAAAGGGGACATATTGTGAAAAATCCACATGTCAAGTGTTTTTGAACATTTATTTATTTGGGTAACCTGAGTGTCTATCGACCCATAAAATGTGAAATAAACCCACCGGGAAAATTCAGGGGGGGGGTCATTGCACTTAAAGAGACACACACACCAAAACGGAGCGTTCTGAGAGAGCTGGTTTATACAGGGTCACAAACCTCCACTGGTGCTTGATTCATGTTATATTTCAATTCATAGAAACTGACTGCACATGTAAAATACCTTCCTGTATTTTCTCATATCACAATATAAAGCTCAGAAAGAAAACACATCACAGTGTCACTTTTTTACATCACCCCTCAGTCGACGTCTAAACACACAAACAGCAGCCGTGTCCGAGCTGATTTTTCTCCATTAACAGCACAGAGACTAATTGGGCCAATTAGAGGAGACTTTCTGATCTTTGGTTATTAAAAGAGCACGCTGAACCACAGAGGTCGTTATGATATCAAGTGATTATCGGTTCATGCTGCTCCTCTGGGATTCATAATTAGTCTGTAAATATCTGCTCTCCCTGAACCATCTGCTCCGAGATCAAGACTCTTATGCAGAAAAAAACAGTCAACACTTTAAAAAAATAATAATTTCTACATTTTTCTGATTGATGCATTAGTTATAGTTCACCTCTGCCAACATCAAACCAGTGAGAGCATCACCTGGAGATGACTTTCACACATCTGTTTTAATCTGTAAATCCAGGTTTGAAAGATTAACATATCTACATGTAACACTGAGATCAGAAGGTGTGACAACAAACAACAGCCAGGAGAACAATAAGAACGATAAATTATATTGGAAACTACATCTCCCTGACCCCACAGTCCCCGCTTATGAATCTATAAATGCTCACGCTCTACTTCCTGTGTGCGTGTGTGTGTGTGTGTGTGTACAGCCACAAAGCACGCCTAACACACAAGCAATACGAGAGCTACGAGCTGAATTCATCACTTGAAACAATTCAAATTCAAAACCCATCACCTGATGTCGACCATTGCCTCAAAACATTGAGGTCATTAAACTTTTGGTGGCTGTGAGTAAAGACCGTGAGTCATTTAAGTCAGATACAGCGATACTGTATGATGGGAATTCCCGCTAATGGCGGCAGGGATCCATTATAGACTTCTTCACGTCCATGTTGTTCCTGTACTTGTCTCGTGTAGAACTGTACCGTGCTGAAGCTCACCTCTTCTAACCGTGCCAGGGCCAAGGAGGTGTAGCGTGCTTGAGCATGGCGTGGAGCGGTCGGACTAAAGGAACTGGGCTCAGAGTGATTAGACACAGTACAGATCGCCCCCCGCCGAGATCGTAATTCAGTATTTCTGATTTGCAGCTATGGTATTCGTCCAATCAGAACAGAAGACTCTTAACTCACCTCACCGCACAAGATGTTCTATAAAAACTTCAGAAAAATCTGACTTCCATTTCTTCTACTCTGCTTTTTGGTGACTTTGTCAGAAGGGGGGAGTCGAACCAAAAACAGGCGCGTGTACACCGCTAAAGTGATCAGGACCGCCTTCTTTTTGTCTAGTTTTTCCACTCTTTTTTTAAATTGCACTGCATCTCCATGATGTGTGTATTAACAACCCTTCTATCACAGAGATAATTATGAAACAATAAAGTTTATATCAGGGTTTTCTTTTTGTGAATAAAAGTCTAGAGTACGAGGGATGATGCTGAAGAGGAACAGGGAAAGAACACTCTGCAGCTCTGAGAGCCAATCAACAACAAGCGAGTACCATACAGTAAATGAACCAGTGTGTGTGTGTGTGTGTGTGTGTGTGTGTGTGTGTGTGTGTGTGTGTGTGTGTGTGTGTGTGTGTTTCTGAGTGTGAAAGTGTGTGGCCAAAGTGTGGCATTCCAGTCCATCAACACCGATTATGTAAGTGCACATCAAAGGCTGTCCTCCATTTTTCACAGTTTAGTGTTCTGTCATGGTCACACACACACACTGAGCTTGTTATAGGAGCTGGACTCAGGGTTCTCCCCTGTGCTGATTTGTGGTCAGTGAGGTCACTGGTTTCTCAAACTGGGGGGTGCATCCCTGTAAGGTTACACTCACAGCTTCATTTAGACGTGACGATATGAGATTCATGCCGCCTGAGCTACGGTTGATCCACAGACGGAGCAGAATCAAAAGATTAATGTAAAGGGAAATTAATTCTATGATAAATGGATTCACTTTTTACTCTTTAAAGTTTGATTTGATAACTGTTCATCACTGTCTCCCTGCTACAAAACCAAAATCCTCTAACTCAGTGGTTCTGAACCGGTCGAAGCTCCACCACTAACTCCTTAATGAAAAACAGCAACCATATTTCTGATATGTTTCAATCTATCAGATTAGAGGGTACAAAGCATGATAAAACAGATATACAGAAACAGGCACAGGCACACCTTCACGACCCACTGAAAATGGCTCCACGACCCACTTTTGGGTCCCGACCCACCAGTTGGGAACCACTGCTCTAATTGCTTCTTCCATCAAGCTGAAAGACTTATCCTAGAAGAAGTCCAAACATTTCAGAAGCTGCACATTGTTGGCTGTTTACTTTATCTACATAATCTGACTTCATAGCGGTTTTAAACCGGGCTCACACTTAAAAGATTTTCAAAATCTTACCATTTAATCTGTGATTCAAAATGACAGATTAAACCGTTTTGCTCCTGTGGTGCGTGTTGTTTTGGTGACTTTGCTGCTCTACAAACACTAATACATTTTATTCACCAAACACAGGCCTGACTCTCAAAACTGGACGTCTTTACTTAATTTGTCCCGGTGAATAAATGTGAGGAACTGCTTTTCACCTCCACTTATTATTCACTGGTTTTTAGCTGGCTGTGACACTTCTTTCTGTTGGGATAAAAAAGCAAACGGTTGAATTTTTTGGGGACACAGCGGTGAAATTATTTATTTTTAAAAAGGAGATTTTGAAAAGGAAATTCTCAACTGCTCTTATCTACTGTACGTGATAATCTACTGTCTTTTACTTATTTAAAGCTGTCATTAATATCTCCACAGTATCCGGTTTCAACAAGCGCTCTGCCAGTGTGTGTGTGTGTGTGTGTGTGTGTGTGTGTGTGTGTGTGTGTGTGTGTGTGTGTGTGTGTGTGTGTGTTGTAATTATCCGTCCGTTCATTGACCAGAAGTCGAGTCATTATAAGAAGTGAAAAGAAGTGCCTGCAGACCCTCGGCACATGAATGTTTGTTGTTGATTATTACACAAACACTCGCTGATGTCACGGTGATGAACGTGTTAATTACAGATTATGAGATTACTTAATTATACGGGCGCTAACGAGAGGAAACACACAAGTATTTCATTAGAGCAGATCAAATAGGTACATAATTCTCTATGAGTGATTCACATTACAGCAACACAATCTCTCCTCGCCATCGATGGAATTAATGATCGTAAATTGTTTTTATAAATAATAATAATAATAACAAATGTGAAGTTTCCAGTGAACTGGTTTTCACATCGTAGCGAGGAGCTTTTACTCTCCTGTCTCGTCTTGTGGATTAAAACTGTTTCGAATAGTGCTTTCACGCTTGCAGAAATCTGAAAAACACCAGATATTTCCCGGAGGAGCTGCATCCAAATCTTTCACTCAGGCTTCACCCAGAGTTTCACTCCTGCCAGACCCTTAGTATTTTTTCCGCAGCAAGTCTGAGTGAGCTGATGTGAGAACGCAACAGGATTTTCTCCAGAGAATTCACCTCGAGCCAATAAGAGGGGGGAGTGACGTTTATATCCTGTGACTGCTGCACGGTGCATAGAGTGTCTGCATGCGACCACTACGATCTTATAGCGTAATACAGCGGACTCTGTTGCTTCGCCCGCTACTTCCGGGTTCTGCCAGGTCAGGAGAATCTCCTCAGCAGTCCTCCTAAAATGATATAGATATTATCCGGAGTGCGTATGTGAAAACGGCTCAACATTGACTTTTTCATTTAGGGGGCTGCACGGTTTTGCCTCACAGCGAGGAGGTTCCTGGATCAAATCCCCGTCTGCCTCTCTGTGTGGAGTTTACATGTTCTCCTTATGCATGTGTGGATTCTCTCCGGGTAGTCCGGCTTCCTCCCGCAGTCCAAAGACATGCTCGTTAGGTTAACTGGTGACTCTAAATTCCCCGTAGGTGTGAATGTGGCTGGTTGTCTGTCTCTGTATTTCAGTTCTGTGATTGGCTGGAGACCAGTCTAGGGTGTAGCCCCACCTCTCGCCCAATGACAGCGTGGATCGGCTCAGGAAAAACATTATTTTTCTAAATACTCAGGTTATAAACATTTAATAAGATCTGTTTTGAAAGTGGTTTAGCCAACTTCACTAACAGCAGAGAG